TGCTCTTATTAATGCTGACGTCCTTCTCAGCCATTCCTCCCTGCTCCCAGCTTGTCCATGTTTAGTCCTTTTTAACCTTCTGTGCAGATCAGCCCTTCGCAGTTCCATGAATAAATAAAAGCCTTCTGTTCTCATCAACAAAATAGTCTTTTAACAGTTGCAAGAACAACACAGCAATCATTTCAAAAAAAAAGAAAAAAAAAGCCAACAACTAATATTTGATGCATTTTTAAATCTCCAACTATTTTCGGCTTTTTAAAAATAAGTGTCTTGATAAATTAAAAAAAAAAGAGAGAAAATTAAAGGGGAACACAAGCCAGGAGTAGGTGTATGAGAGCGACCTGCTAACCCATCGCAAATGCTCACCACACACAACATAGCAGTGGGTCTAAAAATGAAAGCTGAACTTCAGTTAGAAACATCTAAGGAATAAGAATAAGCTGCTAGAGCTGCAACCTTTCCCTTTGCTTTGATCCAGCATTACACAGAACTTAAGGCCAGGAAATTCAGCAGCTTCAAAGTGGGTTAAAGAGTAGAAATGTGCCATGTGCCAAGACAGGTGGAGGGTTTATTCTGCACGGAGAGAGAGGGCATTTTGAGGGGCTGTCCTCAAGCAAATCTAAAGGCCAACAACTGCTGTGTGGTTAGGGCTAAAAATTTCACTTTCTTCCTCATCTTCTTAAAAGGCAGCCACATTTCCCACAAAAAGGACAGCAAGTCGAAGCAAAAGGTGGGGTTGCAGCACTGCTATTGCAAAGCGTAAAAGATAAGTAATATATTTTTTTGTCCCTTGCATCTTGGAAACGTTTTTGTAATTGCTATTAGTTGACACTTGCTTTTGAAGCTGAAACTGTGGTGGTTCTGGATTCTGGCCATATAAAGCTACTGAAGTGTGTAAGAGCTCAGCAAATGGAATGTTATAGGAAGTGAGATGAGCAGACTTGGAGCATCATGTGCTTTAACAACTGAAAATACTTGGTAAAAGAAAATGAAACGACGTTCTTTATCCTATACTTTTATTTTCTTTGGCTTTTAGCTTTATAGATTCCTAAAAATACTGCATTAAAACTAGGGCTAGTTTCCCAGGCTGCAATCTATTCACTAAAGAATTATAATATCACTCCAGTTTGACGATTCTCCCACGGGAAATCCTTCTAAGAGGGTTTTCCTAAACTGATTGCCAATAACCTAATAAGTGTTTTTCTGTCTCGTTCTATCAGAATCTTGAATTAGCTTGAATTTCCAATTACAATTTGTGTCAGAGATAATACAGAAAACCTATCAACTTATAAATAAAACCATTTCCATCCAAAATAGGCTGCAGGAAGATGTCAGAAATCAGTGATGTGAAGACAACCTCACAGATGTGATGCCGTAATAAAATAAAATAATAATAATAATAATAGAGAAAGGAAATTGCAAGGTGAGACCTCATTTCAAAGTAGCTAAAACTCACAAAAATGCATAGCAAGATCATCCCAGGAACCTTCATGAAGCTGCACTCCAAGTCAGCTCAGAAACTCTGGGAAACTTACCTGCTTCTAACTTACATTATCACATAAGAAATCACAAAAATTTAAAATATGATAGAACAAAGAAATAGAATTTTCGTCTTTCATGGATTTGATATAAAACAAAGCAATTTAATAATATTGTGTGTAAGAGGGGGTTAAGAGGTCTCCTGGAATTACATTTTCGTGACTACTGTGGAATGTTTCAAGCACAGCAGTTTCCATATTACTTGGCCTTTCTATGAAGTATCCAAAAGAGTGAATGCACAAATAACATATCCTGGGATATATTTAAAATCCTGGGATATTGACAGAACTGAGCTAGCAGTACTTATCACTGTCAAAATTAAGACTCTGATTTGGGTGAATACTGTCTCTCTATGAAGTGCCAACCTTTTCGCTGTAGCCTTGTGTAACAGGAAATTGTGGTGTGGAGCAGCCTTCGGTGAGATTTAGAAACAGTGGATAAACATTCACAGAATCAGCAGTATAACTGGAAATGAATTTTCCTAGGCACAACATACCCCAGTCAAGTCACACATATTAGAGCACCAGGAGCTTCCTAACTCACCTGAGCAATCTTGCTAGCCACGCCGTGGAAATGTATTAATAACTGCAAGGATAATGTGACTATATTAGAAATTTTAGTCATGAGTATTGCAAATGAGAATAAATGTGCAGATGAGATAATCTACACCAAGATCGTAAGACTCAGAATCACTGTAAGAGTTGGGGAACGGAAAGCAATTATTTTGCTAGTGCAATCAAATTACTAATGTTACCCAAAGAGATTTGAAGAATAGGATACAAAAAGGAAATATGCTGGTGAAATGATTTGGAATGGACGAAATGGTGGAGGAAACCTATAAGCCTCCCAGTGTGACGTGAGCGGTTTCGCAGTGGGGATGCAGCTGCCCTTCTGCTCACGCTGGCATCCAGCTACAGCTGTAACCTGTTTCCACCAGAAAAGCTTTATCCTCACTGCTTACTTATTTAGGTGCAAAGATTATTTTAAAGAGCCTCAGATACATTAATTGTCTTTCTAAATTGCCCTGTGTCTAATTTCAGTTAATTTATCTTCTTTGTGTAGTACAATTGTGTTACCATTGTTCTGCTTTCAGGTTCCTCTTTTCCCTCTCTCTGCTGATAAAGAAAACGAAGCTGAACTTACTGAAAAATACTGTGAGCTTGTCAGGAATAATAGAGTTATTAACTGGCATTAGCAACCTGAACTATATTAATTGTAGTAAAGCAATTAATCCAGCAACATTAGTCAATAGAAAAAAAAATAGAGCATTTATGCTTCTCTAGCCAAAAAGATATTCAAGGAAAAAGAGAACAACTAAATGTCTTCTTAAGCAGCACAATAATGTCTGACAAGAACCTCCACTTTGAAAACTATTTTTTCATCTACTGATGAGCCATTTTGCCTAACAAATCCTTGCCATATAATACAATGTGTTAGTGCTCCTTCTAGATGGGTTACAATCATAGAATCACAGAACCATGATGGTTGGAAAAGACCTTCAAGATCATCGAGACCTTCAAGATCATCGAGATCAAGTTCACCATCCTGCCTGCTAAACTGTCCCTGAGTGTCTCATCCACACGTTTTCTTCCACGTGTCGATTCAAGGCCTGGGCAGCCTGTTCCAATGCTTTACCACTATTTCCATGTAGAAAATTTTCCTAATATCTAACCTGATAGTTCCTTCATGTATTTTTATTATAACTACATAAAGCAGTTACTAAGTTTTAAGGAACAAGGAACTAAAGCAGGCATGATAAGCACGCACAGCAGGCAACCAAAGTCCCACGTAGGCCTGAGAGTCCGGGCTCTGGCATTTGAGAATTTGTTTGTGTAGCCTGCAGCTGAGGAGGTTTTTGCATAGCTTCTCTGTGGTTATTAACATCGATCTAGGTGGCAAGAGCAGCAGCAGGGAGGACAGCATGTGGTCTCCTCTGCAGTTTTTCTCATGAACTTTATGCCATAGAGATAAGCAAAGAGGAACTGAGAAACTCTCTGGGGTTACTGCACACGAGACCTGAAAGGCCTCTTGTTAGACTAGGTCTAAACCACATTGAAAGGAACAAACCATTACTTACAAAAATTGTCCCTCCATGAGGGCTCTGACTGGGTCAACCACCGCTGTAAAGCCAACCCTGTATATAACAGATGATCAACTCCCCAGAAAATCACACAGTTTTAACTTATTTTAACTGAAAGCTGTCCTGAGGATCAGATACTTTCTTCTTCAGGGAAAAGGGAGAGTTAATTTCTGTAGTGCTGTGGGGGAAAAGGAGTCACGGGAACAGATGTGATTGGATTCAGTGAGGTTTTTCCCTCTGCTCTTAATGACTCAATGGCACAATGTCTGAAATGCTCCAATTTCAAGAGCATGCAGAGGAGAAGGATGCTTCAACTTTCAACTCAGAAATCCTGTCTTTGGGATCTAGAGGCAAGTTTCAGACTCAGTTTCAACCAAGTGAAACCTTCCCGTGTTAGTGGAGGATCTGTTAGATGGAAATCAGAGTTATGCTGTGATTCATCCCACCTCGACAGCTCCTGTTTTGACTTTACCTTTTGTCCCCTGTCACCCTTAATCGACCGATTCAGTTTGTTAATTTCTAGAGTGACTCTTGCAGGAGGACAGGAATCCCCAAGAGCAAAACCAAAACCAGACTTCCAAGTACATGGAAGGCTGCAAGAGTCAAGTTGCAGGAGCCTGCTGTGAAAAGAGGCTACAAAGGACCAGGATAGATGGTTCAAATATATTTGGACCATCATATACATCCATGGGCAGGATGCTCCAGCTCCCGTGCTCCGTACCTGGTAACACGCAGCGTATCCACACCACAGAATGGAGCACAGTGCAGAGCTGCTCAAGCCAGCAGAGGTTGGGCCACGGCCCAGCACCGCTCAGACTGGCTGGGGCTGAAGCAGTGCTGCTGTGTTAGCACAGCCTTGCACAAACCCAGGTGCCTTTCTCAGCAGGGCTCATGTGTCTCTGCTGGACTGTGGAGATACGGCCAAAGGTCACTGTCTTCTCCATGTGTGTCCAATCCCGAGGGTGGATCTGCCTCGTTGTATGTGTGCATGCAAGCTATGCTGCCAGCTCAGCCTCCCCTCCGGGATCATGTAGGACACGGGTGAGCATGACTGCAGCAGGAACAGCTCCCAGGCCAGCTCGGCAGCGCATCCCCCACCCCACCAGTGCTAAGGCAAAAGGGAAGTGCTCCCATAAGGAGAGGTGAAAACAGCCTCAGCAATGATGCAAATGACAAGGCTGAGGAAAGCTCGGGGAACTCAGATGGCCGTGTTATAGATTCAGTATGCAAATCTTCACAAAGTATCAAAAGAACCTTTCTCTTTTCTGCCATGATATAAATATTTCATCGACTATTCTCTCACTGCTGGGTAGCTTTAACGACATTTGCCTCCCTGAAGTCCTGAGCTGCTGTAAATCAAGTGCTGTTTTATACTACTCACCATGGTCGTGGGCAAATACAAACAAGTTAAGTCCTGTCAGCCTCTGGGCCAAGTCATCATAACGGCCGCAGTGTTCACCAGCACCATGCGCAATAAACATGAGGGCCCTAAACGGAGCATGAAGGTATAAATCATTAACTGAGCAATCATCCCACAAAGGCTTCAGAGTTGCAAGTAAAAACAGCATATTAAACTCGGCAACAGCAAGTACAAGTCAAATAAATAATGGCTAAAGCGGGTTTAAATGGGGAGCACAAGCTGCCATCCTATCTACCAGCAACCTGCTTCAGCAGGTGCCTTGGTGGCAGCAGGATATACAGAAGTCAGATGCATGTGGGACACACATTCTTTCCAATTTCTCTGCCACCCTGGTCCTCTATAAATTAAAGATGCAGCGACAGGCCTTGACCTGATTTCGGTTGTGATTGGTATTTTTCTCTGATTTCAAACAAAAATGTTGTTCTTAACTTTTTAGCTTGTACCGTTGGTGCTAAAGATGAAATTTTAGCTAAAGAATAGGTCTTAAAAAAAGGCAGAACTTTGGCTGGAGTTTGGAATTTTATCTTTTGACCCAAATCTGGTAATTTTACCATTGCAGTTTATACTGCAAAACAGTTGTTTCACTCTGGTGACTAAAGTGACTTGTACATAACTACAGCACAACTATAGTTAAGGATTGTAACATGAACAACCTAACAAACACTTCTTTTTGAAAGGCATTATGCAAATGTGCATCTTCAAAGATTCCTGTTTTACCAAAGCTGTTTAGTTTTCTCTGGACTGTCAACAAATGAGCATGATTAAAATCAAATGAAATGTCCCATTGTTTTACCAGGCAAAATTATAACGAACTATTATAGCAAAAGTAGCAAGGACACTACACACTACGCAAGTTTTATTAAATTTGGCAGGTGACTATTTGAAATCCAGCGTTAGCAACGTACACCTAATTTGTTCATTTAAAAATACCATCTGTCATGAGAATATCAGCAACCACAAAACTGACTGAAGGCTACAAGTTAAAGATTTTCAGTACATTAACAGTTAAACATTAAATGAGTTGGCAATGTAAAACAACAACACTAATCTCCAGCTAGTAAAATCCTCAATATTATTTTGATCAAGGTTTAGAATATATGTATAGACGGTGTATTCACTGCATAACCTGCTTTGATCTTAATATATTTAAACTTAAAAAAGACATTGGATGATGTAGAAACTACTGTTCTGGCTCTTTGATTAGCACCTGCTTCAATGTATTTGCTGATACTAGAAAACTTGAAAGAGCATCCAACCAAACCAGAAGGATTTTACAGGGCAAACAGAAAAAGCTAAAGCAGAGACGCTCAGCTTTCTGTTTAATACTAATTAGCAATGGTGAGGTTAGGTTATGTTCTATATTTAACTTGCTGTGTCTAACAGATGCTTTTTAATGCGCTAAAGCTTTCAACACGATTGGTGGGGAGCACTCGTTTCTTCATCTTGTCATCTTCCCTTGTCAATAGATTCATGGAATTATCAGTTCAGTTCCCAGACAGCCCAGATTTCACAGGATCTGCCAGATGTCCCAGCTAGAGTGCAGCACATGTTATTAAAAATCCAAATACTGAAGAGATAGAGACACTGCTTACACCGTGGTAGAAGCCCTAAACTTTCTGCATCGGGGGCATCACTGCTGGGTGTATCCTGCCTCTCCCAGAGACAAGCAGGAAGATTCCAGCTCGTTCTGCCTTAGTGAGTCATTATTTTGGATGTGACCCCTCCAAATGCTTCTGCCTCCACCCGTACATGATGATGTGGGTCCTGGGTGACCTCAGGAGGCTGCACCACAGCCCCCAGGCGTGGGGCTGGCCGCTCTGCGGTGCTGCAAGGAGGGACCCCGCCTGCCTCGGGCTCAGATGCCCAAACTAAGGAAGGAAATGAGAGAAGATTCCCGTGTGCTCATCACTGGTACCAGCAAAAACAGGCTACATCTCTCTGCCTACGCTCCTATTAGCTGCCTTTTGACAGCTTTCCTGCTTGGTGCCTCGCTGAAGCCCTCTGCTACTCCTCGGAGACTCGGTATTTTTTTCTGCTGACTAGGCACAGAGTTTAAGGTGCAACTTGGCTGATTGAATACAGCCCTTGATTTCTCAGAGAAATACTATTTGAATGTATGAACTCAAATGTATCAAGTGAATGAAACCTAATGGGAAGCTGGTAAAGAGAGCTCTGTCAGGAAATGCTTGCTGTTATTTCATCCCCCCTGACAGCAAAGGCCTAATTTTGCTTTCATTCACACTGAAGCAGCACCACGATTTTGCCTGACAGCAGCCTGCAAGATGCTCAACCCCCTCATCCTCTGCGGAACCACTGAAACCAGGAAAAACTCTCTGCTCCAGAGGCATAAGGGGATCCTGCAAACTCTCCTCAGGACTAGACCTCATTTTAGGAAGGCGACTGTCTGGCACTGTGAGATTGAGACCTCGGACACTACCGAAAAGAGATTATTATTTGCCTGCAAAACATCGAATAAAATTCCTGAGAATGTTTGTTGCCTTAGAAGCCCTAATGCCTGTGACTGTCAAGAGGATTTAGATTTTTGTCATATAAATATGCTATGTCAGGAATAAGGGGTAAAATCATCATGCTGTTAAGTCCAAATGGAAGTAGACTTTTTTGCAGCTGTTCAGTAAAAAGCATTAGTGGCTTTACTGACTAAAAATTAAGTCACCTCTACACAGGTCTCTAGCTGCAGCCTTAAGGTGTAAGCATAGAGCCATACATTAAACACACAGCCTTGAAAAGCTAAAATCAGTGCAGGCATCATGTCAGCAAGGACTGCAGGATTCGGCTCCTTCATCTAATCCTCCATTTTCTGTTATAAAACAATCTAGATTTGGCAAGAAATACCTGAAGGCAGTGTAACAAATATATGGCGCACATATTTTCACTAGCAAGCTGGCATGAAAATAGAGCAAATGATTAGATTGATTGACAGCATTTCTTTGCTGTATGTAAACATTTTTGCAGACACCCCTGCTCTCGAATCACAATGTGCTCTTTCCTATCGCAATGGCTGAAAAGGAAGAAATACAGAACAGAAAACCAGAGACTGTTTCCAATAGAGGGGTCTCTGTGAGTCATTTAAATAAATACAGACACCCTGCAGGCTTTAGGATTCTGCAGGACCACAGTGCCTCTGTGCATGACCTCAATGGGTGTTTTGTTGAAATCAGGCCTGCATAGTTGGCCTTGTATGAAACTGATCCTGGGCAGAAATCTCTTCATCTCCAGCTTTTGTGACTGCTGGTGAAGTCCTTGGAAAACCGGCACGTTGCAGAAACCGCTGCGCGCAGCCTGATCTGTGCCCGGAGCGCTGGGGAATCCGTGGATCTGTCGCCCCAGGAAGGGGAACCTTCCTGTACGTGTGGACGCTGCAGGTGGCTCTGGGTGATGCGGGTGCAGTAGCCGACCCTCTCCACGGAGCTCTGCTTTGGCTTCCCTTCCCGAGGGCGCCTGGCCGGCACCCCCTGCGCCCCGGCTCCGTGTGCGGAGCCCTGGGCTGTGCCTGCACGCAGCGCCGGGCCGTGAGCTGCAGCACGAGCAGCCACGTGCTAACCCTCACCAGCTAATGCAAGTAACAATTAGGGCTATTAAAGGAAAGCCATTTATTAACCCCTGTTGGCAAACCCCACAATTTTCCCAGATCTCTGCCCTTCCAGCAGCCTCCTCCTCCCACCTCCCCGCTGCAGGTTGCTCCCTGCTGGCACCGCACACCCTGACAAACACACGGGGTTACACAACCCCGGGGACACAACAATATTTGCGTTTTTTAAGATTCAAATCAAGTAGTGGCTGTGGGTACCTGTCTTCCATAGAGGTGCTGGTGTATTCCAGCATGTATGACTCCCCCCTGCCTCTTCCTGAGCTGCAGACACACCTGGCTAAGGAAACGAAACCGCGTCCTCGGAGTGGCCCAAGTCGCGCTACGTACGAACGCAGAGTCTCTCTGCCCTGCTTGGAGAGCTTCACATTAACTTATTGTCAACCCTTGCACACCGGCCAATATAAGTGCAGATAACTCCTCTGTTACTTCTTCTCCATTGCTAGGGATTTAAGGAAGATTCCTCAGAGGAGCAGGACAGTGGTGCCTGGGTCAGCGGGGAGCAGCTCATGCAGGGCAGGAGTTGGGACAGGGCTGGGATGGCAGAATGGATCCTGCTGCTTCCCATCTTCCTTCTTACTGGCCCCAAGCTGCCACGCTGCACCAGTTATCGGGGCCAGCACAATTCTCTACAGACTATTTCACCCACTCAGTTTATGATGCAGTTCCACAATCACTTGCAACAGAAAAACAGAGGGGGAAATAAACTCTAGCACAGAGCTCACACACACTAACAGGCCCTTTGAAAACAGGCCTTTGTCATTAGAAAGAAAAATTACTTGGAAACTACATCAAAAAGCTGATATGTCATGAAATCTGGCAGGCCAAAAATAAAATCCAGGGCTTGGACCCTGCTAGCACATAAGACATATATTCTTGTTTTAGTTTAATGAGATAGGGCCACAAAAGTCACGTTAGAACTGAGCAAGACAAGGGAAGTTGTGAGTGGGATGATACAATTTCAACAGCTTGAGTCGCCCATGGCCAGAGGCACTTCTCTAAAACCCTGTGTGCTCTGTTATCATCAGAAAAACGGAAGCCCTGGGTTTGAACAAAGAACTGAAGAAAAGATTTCTCTGACTGCATATATAAAAAATTCAATCTCTTCCACCCCATTCAGAAGCATCTCTCTTCAGAACAATATTTAAGTTTTTGCTTAATATCATGAAACTCCCTTAGAATCAGGACATTCACCAGGGCTTGTGAAATGCGAGATTAAAGCTAAAAAAGGATGTATAAATGCTGCCTTGAGTAAAGGCTGATTTAATCACATGCAAAAGTGCTTTCCTGAATCAGACCCTTGCAACTTAAGCTAATACCATGCTATTCTATGTTAGACATTTTCATTGTATTTTCATTTCACTTACTATTACATCTGCAGAGCCAGATCACCTCTAACAAAGAACACCTGACATTTGCAGGTTTGAATACTTGCACTGAATTTCTAAAGTATTTTTTTTA